TCATTTTTCTTTTATTTCTCCTATTTCATCTCCTCCTCCTCCTGCTCCTCTTCCCTTCTTTTCCTCTTTGTATCTTTTCTCCCTTCCCTGACTTATTATCCATCTCATACCTATACACTTCCTCCTCCTCCTCCTTTGATTAACCACCACCACCACCACCACCACCATTACCACCAACACCTCCACCACTACTAATAATACCACCACCTCCACCACTACTACTACTACCTCCCTCCACCACTACTACTACCTCCCTCACCACTACTACTACCTCCTCCACCACTACTACTACTACCACCCTCCACCACTACTACTACCACCTCCACCACTACTACTACCTCCCTCCACCACTACTACCACCTCCCTCCACCACTACTACTACCTCCCTCCACCACTACTACTACCACCCTCCACCACACTACTACTACCTCCCTCCACCACTACTACTACCTCCCTCCACCACCACTACTACCTCCACCACTACTACTACCTCCACCACTACTACTACCTCCCTCCACCACTACTACTACCTCCCTCCACCACTACTACTACTCCTCCCTCCCCACCACTACTCTACTACCACCCTCCACCACTACTACTACCTCCTCCACCACTACTACTACCTCCCTCCACCACTACTACCACCACCCTCCACCACTACTACTACCTCCCTCCACCACTACTACTACCTCCCTCCACCACTACTACCACCTCCCTCCACCACTACTACTACCTCCCTCACCACTACTACTACCTCCCTCCACCACTACTACTTACCACCTCCACCACTACTACTACCACCACCACCTCACCACTACTACTACCTCCCTCCACCACTACTACCACCTCCCTCCACCACTACTACTACCTCCTCCTCCACTACTACTACCACCTCCACCACTACTACTACCTCCCTCCACCACCACTACTACCTCCTCCACTAATACTACTACCTCCCTCCACCCCTACTACTACTACCTCCCTCCACCACTACTACTACCTCCCTCCACCACTACTACTACCTCCACCACTACTACAACTACTACCACCTCCACCAACCACCCACCTTACTACTAATACCACCACTCCACCGCTACTACTAACATCCACCACTACTACTAATACCACCTCTCCACCACTACTACTACCACCACCTCAACCGCTACTACTAATAACACCCCCTCCACATTATTAATACCACCACCTCCACCGCTACTACTAATACCACCTCAATTCCACCACTACTACTAATACCCTTCCACCGCTACTACACTAATACCTCCCTCACCACTACTACTAATACCACCACCTCCATCAGCTACTACTAATACTACCACCTCCACCACCTCCACCACTACTAATACCACCACCTCCACCACCTCCACCACTACTAATACCATACCACCACTACTTACTATACCACCACCTCCACCACTACTACTATTGCCACCACCCACCACCTCCACCACTACTAATACACCACCTCCAATCACTAATACCACCACCTCCACCGCTACTACTAATACCACCACCTCCACCACTACTACTAATACCACCACCCCACCGCTACTAATAATACCACCATTCCAATCACTACTACTAATACCACCTCCACCACTACTACTAATGCCACCAACTCCACCGCTGCTACTAATACCACCACCTCCACCACTACTACTAATACCACCACCTCCACCACTACTAATAATGCTACACTCCACCACCACTAATAATACCACCACCTCCACCGCTACTATTAACACTCACCTCCACACTACTACTAATACCACCACCACCACCACTACTACACACACCACCTCCATCCACACTACTACTCACTGCCACCACCACCACTACTACATACCACCCACCTCCACCCATTACAATACTCCACCACTACTACTAATACCACCACCTCCATCATTACTACTACTATCACTACCACCACCACCACTACCATTACTACCACCCACCGCTACTACATTACCAATACCACCTCCATCACTACTACTAATACCACCACCTCTATCACTACTACATACCACCACCTTCACCACTACTACTAATACCACCACCTCCACCGCTACTACTAATACCACCGCCTCCATCACTACTACTAATACCACCACCTCTATCACTAATACTAATACCACCACCTTCACCACTACTACTAATACCACCACCTACCACTACTACTAATACCACCACCTCCACCACAGGTCAGGTCGCGTCCTCAGGAGATCTGGTATTCAACAGGACTTCTACCAGCGCCTCTTCACCGTGCGTTCCCTCAGCCCTGACCAGCGGTACGTCGTCAGTATCACCTCCTACAACGCCCGTGGAAGTCACGCCCAAGACGCCCAAATTGAGACGAAAAGGAACAAGAGATGCACAGAAGTGAGTTGTATGTGTGTGTGTGTGTGTATGTGTGTGTGTGTGTGTGTGTGTGTGTGTGTGTGTGTGTCTGTGTGTGTGTGTGTGTGTGTGTGTGTCTGTGCAAACCTAATTTTTCTGTCACGTGTTGCTTAGATGACCCACCGCCCCAGTCGTCGAGTTCTCTCCAGCCCTCTTTCATTTCACTCTCCCACACGGAGATAGATGTGGCTGAGACAGGAAACCAAGGGTACGGTGTATCTCTCGTGAAAAACACTCTTTGAGGAGATTTTTATGTAGATGTGGATAGAGGGGTGAGGAGAGGAGAGGGTGAGGAGAGGGAGAGGGTGAGGAGAGGGAGAGGGGTGAGGGAGAGGGGTGAGGGAGAGGGAGAGGGGAGGGAGAGGAGAGGGAGAGGGAGGGGGGAGGGAGGGGAGAAGGAGGGGAGAAGGAGGGGGAGAGGGAGGGGAGGGGAGGGAGAGGGTGGGAGAGGGAGAGGGGAGGGGGAGGGAGAGGGTAAGGAGAGGGAGAGGGAGGGGAGAGGAGGGGAGAGGGAGGGGGAGAGGGAGAGGGAGAGGGAGGGGGTGGGAGGGGAGGGTGAGGGAGAGGGTGAGGAGAGGGAGAGGGAGAGGGAGAGGGAAGGGGAGGTGCCTTGACGTAGATTCTTGGTGACGTTGGTGGTAGTGTGTGGTGATGGTGGTGATGATGGTGGTGGTGTTAGTGGCGTTGGTACAGGATGGTAGATAGTAGTAGTAATGGTGGTAGTAGTGGTGATGGTGGTGGTGTGGTGTTAGTGGCGTTGGTGTTAGTAATGGTGGTAGGATAGTAGTAGTACTGGTGGTAGTAGTGGTGATGGTAGTGGTGATGGTGGGGTGGTGTTAGTGGCTGGATGTTAGTAATGGTAGAGGATAGTAGTAGTAATGGTATAGTAGTGGTGATGGTGTAGTGGTGTTAGTAGGGTTGTGTTAGTAATGGTGGTAGGATAGTAGTAGTAATGGATATAGTGGTGATGGTGGGGTGTTAGTGGGGAATGGGCAGGATAGCAGTAGTATTTGGTAGTAGTGATAGTGGTGGTGTTAGTATGCTGGTGTTAGTAATGGTGGTAGGATAGTAGAGTATTGGTGGTAGTGGTGATGGTAGTGGGTGATGGTGGTGGTGATGGTAGTGGTGGTGTTAGATGTTGGTGTTAGTAATGGTGGTAGGATAGTAGTAGTAATGGTGGTAGTAGTGTGGTGATGGTGGTGGTGGTGGTGTTAGTGGCGTTGGTGTTAGTAATGGTGGTAGGATATAGTAGTATTGGTGGTAGTAGGTGATGGTGGTGGTGGTGGTGTTAGTATGTTGGTGTTAGTAATGGAGGTAGATAAGTAGTGGGTGGTAGTAGTGGGTGATGGTGGGTGGTGTTAGTGTGTTGGTGTTAGTAATGGTGTGGTAGGATAGTAGTAGTACTGGTGGTAGTAGTGGTGATGGTAGTGGTGATGGTAGTGGTGGTGTTAGTATGTTGGTGTTAGTAATGGTGGTAGGATAGTAGTAGTAATGGTGGTAGTAGTGGTGATGGTAGTGGGGATGGTGGTGATGGTGGTGGTGGTGGTGTTACTGTGTTGGTGTTAGTAATGGTGGTAGAGGATAGTAGTAGTAATGGTGGTAGTAGTGGGTGATGGTGGTGGTGATGGTAGTGGTGGTGTTAGTGGTGTTGGTGTTAGTAATGGTAGGATAGTAGTAGTAATGGTGGTAGTAGTGGTGATGGTGGTGGTGATGGTGGTGGTGGTGTTAGTGGCGTTGGTGTTAGTAATGGTGGTAGGATAGTAGTAGTAATGGTGGTAGTAGTGGTGATGGTGGTGGTGATGGTGGTGGTGGTGTTAGTTGCGTTGGTGTTAATGTGGTAGGATAGTAGTAGTAATGGTGGTAATGGTGGTGATGGTGGTAGTGGTGGTGTTAGTTGGAGTTGGTGTTAGTAATGGTGGTAGGATAGTAGTAGTAATGGTGGTGGAGTAGTGATGATGGTGGTGGTGATGGTGGTGTTGAGTGGCGTTGGTGTTAGTAATGGTGGTAGGATAGTAGTAGTAATGGTGGTAGTAGTGGTGATGGTGGTGGTGATTGGTGGTGGTGTTAGTAATGTAATGGTAGGATAGTAGTAGTAATTGGTAGAAGTGGTGATGGTGGTTGTGGTGTTAGTGGCGTTTGTGTAGTAATGGTGGTAGGATAGTAGTAGTACTGGTGGTAGTAGTGGTGATGGTAGTGGTGATGGTGGTGGTGATGGTAGTGGTGGTGTTAGTGGCGTTGGTGTTAGTAATGGTGGTAGGATAGTAGTAGTAATGGTGGTAGTAGTATGTGTGATGGTGGTAGTAGCATGTATGATGGTAGGGAACAGATCTCAGTGTATAGAGACGTATAGAGGGAGCCGTGACGGAGACCTCGGTAAGAACTAAGAGGTCCTCGGGGTTGGTTGTTGAACAAGTGACCCAACAGAAGGAGAAAGAGGAGAAGGAGAAGAAGGGTAGGAGAAAGATGGAGAAAAGGAGAAGGAGGAAAAGGAGAAGAAGGAGGAGGAGGAGGGAGGAGGAGGAGGAGAGAGAAGGAGGAGGAGGAGGAGGGGGAGGAGGAGGAGGAGGAGGAGGAGGAGGAGGAGGAGGAGGGAGGAGGAGGGCAGGAGGAGGGAAGGGGAAGGAGAAGAAGGAGGAGGAGGAGGGAAGGAGGTGTCTTATGATAGCGGGTAGATGTTAGTACAGCTCTGTCGGCCAGTGATCTATTGTTTGGTGTGACAGTAAACAAAGGTGTGGTGGAGTCACACACACACGCACACACCCCACTGCCACACACACACACACACACAACATCAAGGCACACACACGTACACACCCACACACACACACAAACACTGCCCGCTCACACACACACACAGACACACACACACACACACACCACTGCCACACAAACACACACACACACCAATGCCACACAAACACACACACACACTTGTCAACCATCAGTGAGACAAGACGTGCCCCGAAGGCGCTCCTGGTTTTAGCAGCCAGGCCGAGTCTGTTTGGCCCTGCCCACTCCCCCTGCTATACCCCAACGCCCTACCAGCCTTACTACACCGGGATCTATTCAGCAAAACATTCTAGTGATTAGTGAACGATTGATTACGGAGCAGTGTTCCTATAGTGCACTTAAGGAACTTTCTCAGCAAAGCATTCAAGTCATCAGTGCAATAAGTGATTATTATACAGTGCTCGATAGTGCACCCCAAGGAAAAGTCAGACAGTGGGCACTTTATCGGTCACCTTTAAAGTGCCAGTGACAAGGACCACCGCGGTGTTTACATATATCGTGAAAACTGTGTCGGCGACCCCAAGCACCAGGGACAAAGACCCACGGTCTTTACGACTGACAAATATTAACAGATGTCTACCAGTGTCAGTGGCCCTCAAAGTGCCGTCAGTGACAAACACTTCCGTCCGCCCACAACAGATATCAACAGATGGCCACCAATCACTTACTCCCGACGCACTCTGTACCATCTAAAGCGTGGGAACGGTTATCCTGATGGCAGTGTTATCGCGCGACTCAAGTCACTGAACATATTCCACGCGCGGAGCCGTAGACAAGGCCGTCATACACATAAGCCCATTAGAACCGTAACCTCCACTAGGAAACTGGAAAAACCCACCCTTGACAGACCATACCACCTCACTGAAGTTCCACGGATATGGTATGATCTCCCGTCTTTACTGCTATCCAACGTCACTTCCCTAGCTAACAAGTTCGACGAGCTGGCAACTACAGTCAGGTCAGCCGCCGCGAGCGTCGTTGCCATATGTGAGGCTTGGCAAATTGTGCCTGAAACGTGTCATATTGAGGGATATCAACTCTTTCATCACCTTCGTTCACATAGACGCGGAGGGGGCGTTGCCCTCTTCTGTCAAGATGACCTACGCCCGTCACGCCTGGATGTTCAAGTCCCAGCAGATGTGGAAGCATTATGGGTACGTGTCGTGCCTACGGGCCCACCCGCGCAACACTGCTTCCATCATAATCTGTGTGGCATACCATCCGCCTCGCTCACCCACCAGAGACACTCTTATCAATCATCTCATCACCACCTCAGACCACCTCAGAGTTAGGTACCCATGTGCCAAGTTAGTATTATGTGGGGATTTTAATGAAATTGACACCACTGATATCCAGGACCAGCTATCACTATCACAAGTTGTGACCTTCCCCACACACGGTCAAAATACCCTTGACCTTATCTTAACTGACTTAGTGGACCAGTACCAACCACCTCAACCAATGCCTCCTATCGGGTGTAGCACACACTTATCAGTGCTCTGGTCCCCAGCTGCCACTCCCACTCAAGTACAGAGACCCTACATCAAGACCTACAGGCCGATTACTGACTCTGCAGTGCGCCTCTTCGGGCAGTGGATAGTTCACCATCCCTGGACTGAAGTACTTAGCGTGGATGACGTGGAAACCAAATGGATAAATTATACCAACACCACCACGGAAGCTCACCACCACTTCTTCCCCGAGAAGTCCGTCAGATCTCACCCAGCTGACTTGCCCTGGATCACACCTCGGATCAAAAGACTTATGCAACAGAGAGACAGAGCCTTTCATCTCAATGACCACATCCGCTACAGGTCCCTTCGCAACCGAGTCATCCGCGAAATACGCACTGCAAAGAAGTCCCACTACCCAACCAAATTACAACACCTGAAGCAGACCAACATCAGTCAATGGTATGGTAAGCTTAAAGAACTCTGTGGACTAAACAATAAGACACACCCCCTCCCCTTCCTTAGCCATCTCACTAATGTTGACGCAGCTGAGCAATCAAATAACCATTTCCCTACTATATGCCAGACGCTCCCCCAGCTTGACACAACCACTCTCCCTGCTTACCTACCAGCCCCCTTTCCCACTGACTTAGTAGAAGAATTTGAAGTAACAAAACGTCTGGACAAACTAAAGTTAAAACGCTCTACCACCCCCATTGACTTACCAATGAAACTCTTCAAGGAGTTCTCCCCGGAGCTTGCTAAACCCCTATGCTCCATCATCAATGCTTCTCTCAGTCAAGCCAGATGCCCAGCTGACTGGAAGACCTCTTATGTATCACCA